GATAATGTTCTATAAGCTCAAAATGTTTGTTTCTTGGTAATGTTAATGGTAAATAACATGTATCCTTAAAATCAAGTTTATAGTAGATCATTTGAGTTACAGGATCATATTTAAGAGCTCTGATGTCCCTAACTTCGGGATCACCCTTTCCTTTTCCTGGTCTGATTGATTTATATGTTTGGTTTATTTTATAGTCATTGAAAAATGTATGATCAAGTAATGTTKCTTGGTATGGACAAGGAGTGGTTCTAGCTTCTTTAGTTATTCTTACATAATCTGAAGGAAGATGAATTTCCTTGTTTTTCAACTTGCGCTCTATAGCACTATGTACACTATCACAGGGCATTTGGGTGTGACCTTTAATTAGGAATTTTTGTTCAATAACTACATTATGTTGGACGGAAAAATTTAAAAGTGCGTTTGATAAAATAGAATTACGATTTTGATATCCACATCCATCAGAAAACAGAATAATATTTTTTTTTTCTTCTTGGTCAATATTAATACAATAGGTTTCAAGATGAGATAACAGAATACTTACAAAAACTGATGCATCTAACTCTCCCTCACATTCATTCCACCAATAGTTGTGACATTGGCGTTCGTTGTTTACATTATATATTGTGAAGTTGTGAACTTTGAGCTTCATTGAGTAATATAATGYACTAGCATTCATGGCTGGACACAATTTAACTGCCTGAACGTCCATAGTGAAAGTGTAATTTTCTTGATTATTTGCTTTTTCAGTATCACTTTTTAATTGTTCTCTGGCTAGATCTTTATTTAATATGTGTTCCTGATACTCATTTTCTGTTACTTGATTTGTTTTATATGAACAGCACAGATCACATTGATCTTTCCTGGGTTTAAAGATTGAAATTTTTTTTGATTTTATAAACTTATTAAAGCATGCCCTACTTATTGGTGTATATTTTACATGTTTTGCTTCTTGGACATACAAGCTGTATAATTGTTGCTTTGTTTCAAATGGCCCTTCCAAGTAAAGCCGATTAGTTCTTTTTCTACAATAGTGGCTTTCCATTTTTGGAAGTTTATCAAACCACTTAATAAAATGATCATACCTTACAGTAAATGCAATTTTGTTCATTTGTTCATTAGTTTCAGGATCTTTATTTTTGACATTTTTTTTATATACTTTAGGTGATAGGCCATTAGATTTTTTTACCCAGTTGTGAACCATCCATTCGTTTAAATCTAATGTTGCCAAAAACATTTTTTTACAAACACGAATTTTCTTTTCATTTATATCTCTTAAATGATACTGGTATGATGAAGATCGTCTACTTTTTACTTCATATTTTCCTGTAGTCTTTCTCTTGGTATCTTCTTSTGTTACTAAATTTATAATGTATGTCTTTTTTTCATCCCAAGTTGTTGCCCAAAAGCAATTAAACATATTCAATCTATCTTCCTCAGTTAGTTTATTGCATTCCTTTGATTTAATACAAACAGTAGAATTACAGCGAGGCTTGATTTTTCTACAATCTCTATTAGTATCTTGAAATACATTTTTTCCCAATCTACGAAACCCAGTATAATTTTGGCCAAACATTCTATTTTCCATTGCAGTAGGACGTTTCTTTAAATTTTTCTTATTACTTGGGTCATTTGTAATATCA